AGGGCTTGATCTCAGAGCCCTGAGATCATGATCTGAGCCAAAATCAAGAGTCAGATGCTTAACTGACTGAGCCACTCAGGTGCCCCAACAACTTTTAAAATGATAACATGTGGGCAGCCCGGGTGGCTCAGCGGTTTAGCGCCTGCCTTCCACCCAGGGTGTGATCCTGGAGACCCGGGATCCAGTTCTATGTCAGGCTCCCTGCAAGAGCCTTCTTCTCCTTCTGCCTGTGTCTCTGCCTCTCTCTCTCTCTCTCTCTCTCTCTCTCTCTCTCTCTCTCTGTGTCTCTCTCATGAATAATTAAATAAAAATTTTTTTAATTTTTTTAAAATTTATTTATGATAGAGAGAGAGAGAGAGAGAGAGAGAGAGAGGCAGAGACACAGGCAGAGGGAGAAGCAGGCTCCATGCACCGGGAGCCCGACATGGGATTCGATCCCGGGTCTCCAGGATCGCGCCCTGGGCCAAAGGCAGGCGCCAAACCGCTGTGCCACACAGGGATACCTAAATAAAATATTTTTAAAAATTTGGGCAGCTCTGGGGCACCGGCTGGCTCAGCTGAGCACACCCAACTCTTGATCTCGGGGTCATGAGTTTGAGCCCCCATGTTGGGTGTAGAGATTGCTTAAAAACAAAATCTTAAAAAAAAAAAAAAGATTTTGGGTATTTGAGTCAAAAAATGAAAGACAGTCATATGCTCAGAAAGACCTATTGCTGGGACGCTGGGTGGCTCAGCGGTTTTGCGCTGCCTTCAGCTCAGGGCCTGATCCTGGAGACCCGGGATCAAGTCCAGCATGGGGCTCCCTGCAGGGAATCTGCTTCTCCCCTATGCCTGTGTCTCTGCCTCTCTGTGTCTCTCATGAATAAATAAAATCTTTTTTTTTTCTTAAAGACCTATTACTAACTTTGCTTCACTACTGCTTCTTTTTTTTTAAAAAAAGATTTTAATTTATTCGGGATCCCTGGGTGGTGCAGTGGTTTGGCGCCTGCCTTTGGCCCAGGACGCGATCCTGGAGACCCGGAATCGAGTCCCACGTCGGGCTCCCGGTGCATGGACCCTGCTTCTCCCTCTGCCTATGTCTCTGCCTCTCTCTCTCTCTCTCTCTGTGACTATCATAAATAAATAAAAATTTAAAAAAAATTTAAAGATTTTAATTTATTCATGAGAGACAGAGAGAGAGAGAGAGAGAGAGAGAGAGGCAGAGACACAGGCAGAGGGAGAAGTAGGCTCCCTGCAGGGATCCCGGATCTCCAGGATCAGGCCCTGAGCTGAAGGCCGTGCTAAACTGCTGAGCCACCTGGGCCGCCCTTCACTACTGTTTTAAATTTCATGCCCTACTCAACTCTATCACATAAAGCACTGAAGGGCAAAAAGAATTACTATGTAGCTTTAGAGAGATCCACCACATCTGGCTTCCTGCCTTCTGCCCACTTGGATTCTAAGAAACAAGAATGCCAGCCTTCACCTTTCTAATGATCTACTTTAGCAGTGCTTCCCCACACCCATGCATTCATCTGTTAACAATCTAAAGGCCACTGGGGGCACCTACCTGGGTGGCTCAGTGGTTGAACATCTACCTTTGGCTTAGGTAGTGATCCCCGGATCGAGTCCCATTATCAGGCTCCCAATGGGAGCCTGCTTCTCCTTCTCCCTATCTCTGCCTCTCTCATGAATAAATAAAAATAAAATCTTAAAAAGGCCACTAGGATGGACAAATGCAGTTATCACACCAGTAGCACATGAGGAGGATTTACTCTCCATTTGTCATCTTCAGCCCACCTAGCAAGCATCAAGGAACGGACATCCCTTTGAGTAGGCTGATAATCAAAGCGAAGGCACATAGATTTGGGTGCTTGCCTTTAAAAGTTCTAGGCTGTACAGAGTGCCTGGCTGGCTCAGTTGAAAGAGCATGTGACTTAATCTTGAGGTCGTGGGTTCAAGCCCCATGTTGGGTGTAGAGATTACTTAAATAAATAAACTTAAAACATTTTTTAAAAAGATAGATAGAGGGATCCCTGGGTGGCACAGCGGTTTGGCGCCTGCCTTTGGCCCAGGGTGCGATCCTGGAGACCCGGGATCGAATCCCACATCGGGCTCCCGGTACATGGAGCCTGCTTCTCCCTCTGCCTGTGTCTCTGCCTCTCTCTCTCTGTGACTATCATAAATAAATAAAAATTTAAAAAAATTAAAAAAAAATAAAAAGATAGATATAGATTTATTTATTTAATGAGAGAGAGAGAGAGAGAGAGAGAGAGAGACAGGCAGAGAAACAGGAAAAGGGAGAAGCAGGCTCCCTCCATGCCGGGAGCCCGATGCGGTACTCGATCCCCGGACTCCAGGACTGTACCCTGGGCCAAAGGCAGGCGCCAAACCGCTGAGCCACCCGGGGATCCCCAACTTAAAATATTAAAAAAAAAAAAAAAGTTCTGAACTGAGAGCCTAGCTAATATTTCACAGAAAAAACTTAACTTTTGTTGAACCCGATTTCTGACTAGGATTAATACAAAACACATTCAGTGATGTAGGTCTACTGTAAAGGAATTATAAGCATTAAATACATGTCTTGAAAAAGTCTAGAGGGACGCCTGGGTGGTTCAGCAGTTGAATATCTGCTTTTGGCTCAGGGTGTGATCCCGGGGTCCCAGGATCTAGTCCTGCATCAGGCTTCGTGCATGGAGCCTCTGCCTGTCTCTGCCTCTCTCTCTCTGTCTCTCATGAATAAATAAATAAACTCTTAAAAAAAAAAAGTGTAGAAATACTTAACACTTTTGGCTTGATTTTCTCAAAGTCATTGAACATCTTGGCTTAGAGGAGCAGTGCTCAATGGTACAAGAAATAATTATGATTTGTTAAGTCACAATAGTGTTAAAAGAGAGAACAGAAATAAATCAGTGGCCATACTCTAACTCCCGACCCAAATCCAAACTCAGATCACATGTGAAAAAATAATACATCACAAAGATAAGGCATCCACAGCTAATACTAAGACCACCGTTTAGTAGAAATACATTTGGGTAAATAAGAAGTCGAATAATCTGAATTAGTATCTCTTTCCAACTCAGGTGTTCATTAAATTACCTGAAAGTGGATAGAGTGGAACAATGTAACAATGACTGGCATTTGTGTCATCTAGCAAGGTTAAAAAAATCTCTTCTCAGAAAAGTGAAACTACATCTGACCTTGAGAATCAAAGTGGTAAGGGTCAGTGTTCCCAGATCAGGAAATGAATTCTCTTTGCTTTCCAAAGCCTACCTTAGCAGCAAAAGTAAAATCAGTTAAGCTTTAGGCTGATCTGAATATTCAAGGCAGGTGCTAGCAATGCTACAAACTGAACAGGCTTCCTGCTATCCTGGTTATTCTACTTAGATCTCAGGAAATTTCCACTCGAGTTTTTTGGGCTTTGCTAGTTTTTAAGGATCAAAAGCTTTCAAATGGCTTCCAATTTATAGGTTTCTGGGGTCCTCAGGATCATTTCTACCAGGAAAGTCAACAAAACAAAACAATACTGATTCTACAATTAATGTAGCACTATCATCCCAAAAGCTTCCTGGGCTTCCCCAGAGGCTTAAAAAAACAAAATGAATTCAAAAGGTAAATTCTAAAGGCTTTTAAAAATCACTGAAGAATTAAATGATCTGGTCTGGGTTAGGAGCTCTGGAATGAGCTAATTATGGTGTCATGTCCCCTATTCTGCCAAAACACTATCTAGAACTCGCCTCATTTCCCAAGGGGCCTTCCTTACCCTGTTCCCTGGCAGCAGCAGAAGCAACAGTCAAGTAAGACAAGTGTCTCCCAAACGATCAGCCTCCACCTGCTGCTGGGCACCCGGAAGAACCTCCATGCTAGATTCTACAGGCTTCACCTCATCTGCCAGCCATGCAAACTAACACACAGCACGCCAATGCCATCTTAAGACTTTCCTTTCCTCCAGGTGCTGGCAGCTTTAATCTGCAGGAGAAAGTGTAAGTTCTCTGCAGAAGTCAAGGTCACTTGTGGGACTGTCCCTGCCTGGATTAGAGGGCTGGGACTCTCCTCAAAACAGCAGTTTCTCTATTTAAAGGGTTAAGTGACCCAGGCACCAAAGCCCTGGCCATTTGAAACTGAAAGCACCATTACCTGCAACAAGATTCCTATGATCCAAAGGTAAGAACATTCAAGTAAATGAGGGCCTCAAAGAATGAGAGGGCTCTCTCTCCTGGGTAGACTTCTAAGCAATAGCTAAGCCTGAGTGAGCAAGGAGTAGGACCGGTCATGTGACTTTGGCAGCACTATCTCCAGTCCAGTATCTTCACTTTCTGGCCTGCCGTTTGGAGGAACAATCTTTCTGGTTCTTTCTGCAATCATTATGTGATAATCATGCAGAAGGTCTTACAGAAGGGCTCCACCCCACCCAGGATCCTCCTATACGAAGAGTAAGTGCAAGAGTCCCAAGGACAAAGAGGACCCAGTCCCACTCCACCAGCAGAACTGCTAAGGCTCGGTCACTAAAAGCTTCAAAAATTGGGTTGGAGAAACAGTAAGAGGCAGTTTGGGAGCCGACAAGGCCCTCCCCGCAGAGCAGAAGCCGAAGCCGGCCACGGCGCAGCTCACCAGGGGCAGTGCACGGAGCCGGCCGCCGGCCGCCTCTCCTACCCCCGCACCCCTCTCCCCAACCGGCCCTTCCCCTAAGTCCGGAGGCACACGACACCGAGGCTCTCCAGCGGCAGCTCCTTTCCGGGGCTCCCCCGTCCTGGCCGAGCCGGGTGACAGCAGCGTCCGGGCTCTCCGCCCGCCCAAGACCGCAGGCCGGAGCAGGCAGCGCCCTCTTCACCCCCGGGGGCAGAAGGCCAGCGGAGCACATGGCCTGGGAGCGCCACCGAGGGCTGGCGGCCAGCCAGGCGTAGGGCCCCTTTAAGGCGCGCAGGGGTGTGAGGTGGAGGGGAGGGGACCCCGGCGCCCGAGGGCCTGCAGTCGCCTCAGCCCTACCCTGGGGCCGCGCGCTCCCTCCCGGAGTTGCTCACCTTGGCTCCGAAGAGCCGGGCGGCCGCAGTGAGTAGAGCCATGACGGGCGAACGCGGGCTTCCGGCGGGGAGGCAGGACCGGGAGAGCTGCGGCCGGGGGAGCCGCCGCCGCTGCACCGAGGGCCGCGCCGACGGGCCGACAAGGTTGAAAGGAGGCGGCTGAGGGAAAGGGGAGACGAGCCGGCGGCGGCGCCCAGCCCGGGGTCCTCGGCGAGGCCCCGCCCCCCGCTCCGACTCGCTCCCGCCCCTCCCAGGGGACTCGTCTCGGGCCCGGCCATTGGCCCGGCGTCCGCGGGGGCGGGACCTGAGCCGCTGACAGCGGGCGCGGCGGGCAGGATTGGACCGCCGGGTTGGGCCGGGAGGGGGGCGCGGAGGTGCCTAAGTATGTGCCTGCTAACTCCGTTAACTTCCTCCTCGGCGTCCCTTCTCGCCCTCGGCGGTTCGGGGTTAGCTCGAGGAGGGGAGTGTGGGAGGAGGGCTCCGACCGAGGACTCCGACCTCAGAGGGCCTCGGAAGCCGGTGCCATCCTGTACCGTCGCTGACCACTGCCTGCCCCTCCTACCAGCTGGCGGTCTTTCCTGAGGAATGTCTTTGGTCAGTGACTTAATGGCCTTAGAGGTGACGTCATGTGGACAGGCTCTGATGCCAGCGCTGGCTGCCTGGCGATCCTTTGAGGGCAGCCGAGGCCATGGTATTATTACAGATAAAGAGACCCCCAATACATGGGGAAGGAAGGCAAAGGCGGGAGGCTGGTATCCAGTGCTGTTTACGGGCCGTCAGCTCTGCGTCCAGGGCGGGGAAAACGAAGTCTTACAGATGCCCCTTAATATGAAGGCTTCCGAGGCCGCCTACCTGGCTCAGCCGGTGGAGCATACCACTCTTGATATTGGGGTTGTAGGCTGGAGCCCCACCTTGGGTGTAGAGATTACTTAAAAAAAAAAAAATCTTAAAAAGAAAAATGAAGGTTTTCCAGCACAGGCCAGAACCTCTGGGTCTCAGCCACTCTAGTCACAAAACCCCATGCAGCCAGTTCACCCCACATCCAAAATCAGGCATTAAGCACCCTCTCCATTTGTCACACCACTCCCATGGGGCTTCTGGACCCCTGCTCCTACTTGGCTGTCTTCTGTACACTCTTATCCTATGCTTGCCAGAGATCATTAAATGAACCACAGCACTAAAGTGATCTTTCATATCACTCTTGACTAACTTCTCTAGGAAGACAAGACCTCAGGACCTTTGCACCTCCTAAGAGTATCATTGTCATTGACCTAGGGGCAGGGTGAAACTGGCCCAAGGACCAGGGCACCTTATCTACAAACCCCAAGCCCCAAATAAACAGTTCTTTTATCTCTTCACAGAGCAGTAACAAGATTCAAAAGTCTCACTACCACCTAAACCAGGTTTAGATAGACCTTTTTTTTTTAAGATTTTATTTATTCATGAGAGAGACACACACACACAGAGAGGGTGAGAGAGAGAGAGAAAGAGAGAGGCAGACACAAGCAGAGGGAGAAGGAGGCTCCATGCAGGGAGCCTGACATGTGCCTAGACCCCGTGTCTCCAGGATCACACCCCCAGGGTTGAAGACCGAGCTAAACCGCTGAGCCACCAGGGCTGCCCTTAGATAGCTCTTTTATAAAGAACCTGGTTTATAGCTTGAGGGGGAAAGAGAAAGAAAACCACTATTTCTCTTCCCAAGTTACCTTGTACCTACCAACCAATACTCCTCTGATTTAGGGTTCAGATAGGTAGGACTTAGGAAGGAACTTCATAAAGAAAAGCCAGGCAGAGCCCCAAAGGAACATTGACCTCAACTACCTTCTCCGTGACTTCAAAGTTCCGCTTATCAATATTTGCTCCCAATTTAGTATCTTACAGATTATTTCCTCCTAACCCTAGAATAGTCTGACCTGGTTTCTGCTCTCTAGTTAATCATCCACAGACACCAACCAGCTGACCAGGGGCCTGAACTCCAGTGCCCGCAAGACAGGAGGCATTTTCAGGACGAGGCTACCGAAGGGATATTAACTATTATTATTAAAATGTTTTTTTTAAAGTATTTATTTATTCATGAGAGACACACAGAGAGGCAGAGAGAGAAGCAGGCTCCATGCAAGAAGCCCAATGCAGGACTTGATCCTGGGACTCCAAGATCACAACCTGAGCCGAAGGCAGATGTTCAACCGCTGAGCCACTCAGGCGTCCCCAAAATTTTATTTAAGTAATCTCTGCACCCAATGTGGGACTCAAACTCACAACCATGATATCAAGAATTGCATGCTTTACCTTCTGAGCCAGCCCGGTGCCCCCCGCTCAAAGAGATAAATCAGAGTGGCCATAAGGGTAACCTACTTTGGAGCTCTAATGATTGGAGGGAAGGTGAGAAACAGCAGTGCTTTTGACACCGTGTCCTGGAGACTAGTATTATGAAGGCTTTATGGGCTTGTTTTGAAGTTGTTTAGTCTTGACGTCAACTACTATAAAGCCAGTGGGAAAGCCCAGGGATCAGAAGGACTAAATGTTACCTCCCAGAAGCTAACTTAGAATCTCTTTCTAAATGTGAATGGGACCTGGGGAAGAGAGAAGAAAGGGAGGACTGCTATGAATAAAGCAACCAAATGAGCATTAGGTCCAAATACAACTAAGTGCCTGAGGAAAGGGGGCAATGGAGAGAAGGCTGACAATTGAGGTCATGTTGACCTTGCAAGGTCCTCTTTAAAATGAAGAGGCAATGGTGCCCCCTGGTGGCTATGGGTAAGCTGGGGGTGGGGGAATGCAATCCAAACTTCAACTTAAACTGCCTATATTAGTAATAGCTAAAATTTATACTTACAGGGATGCCCAGGTGACTCAGCAGTTGAGCATCTGCCTTTGGCTCAGGGCCTGATCCCAGAGTCCTGGGATTGAGTCCCACATTGGGCTCCCCAAATGGAGCCTGCTTCTCCCTTTGCCTGTCTCTGCCTCTCATGAGTAAATAAATAAAATCTTAAAAAAAAAAATGTATACTTACAATTTTCAAGTACTATATAAATATGGTACACCCATTATCTTAAAATTAATCCTCACAACAAGTCTAAGGGATGTAGGTAATAGTATCTTTACAGAGGAGGAAACCAAGGTTTAAAGTATCCAGCTAAGGATTATAGTTCATAATTGGCCAGAAGCTGTATCTTAACTAAGCTGTATTGTTTTTATGGTGATGAATGTGAATTATCAGCTGCAACTCAGGATGGGGACTTCTGAGTCATTGTTAACTGCCTCCTGGGCACATCAGCTCAATGTGTTCTATATTTTTAAATATTTTACAAAATAAAAACTATAGTCTTACTCATCTGTAAAACCTTTGTACATCCATACCTGAAATAAAGGTAGGAGAGACGAACATTTAGCACCTAAAGTGACCAAGGAGTAGGATAGATTTCTTCAATGAATAATCCGTCTGGAGAGATAGTTGAAAGTTGGATAGAATGCCTTTTCACTATTGATTATTAGAGTCAGAGGGCATGTGTCCAAACTTAGAGGTAGTTTTCAAACAAAAGTACTAGTGTACACAGCCACTGGGGACTACATGGAGAATCCACTACAGGGAATGAGATATAGCAGAAAAACCACTGGCCTAGGGATAAGACGATCACTAAGTCTTGGCTCATGGAAGTCTTGACTCCCCATGACACAACCTCTTTGAGCTTAGTTTCTTCATCTGTAAAATGGGAATAACATCTACTTCTTAGAACTGTAAAGATTAAATAAAGTATGTGCTTGTTATGAATATTCACCATATACTAGTGCCTTTGCCCTTCCTAGTCATCCCTGTCCTATATTTAAAGGACTCTTATCCCTGCTCTTAATCCTCTTTAACAGAATAAAAACTCTCTAAAACTTATTTTTATTTTTTGTTAAAGATTTTATTTGAAAGAGTAAGCAAGAGAGAGAGAAGCAGGCTCCTCGTTGTGCAGGAAGCCCAATGCAGGGCTTGACCCAGGACCCTGGGATCATGACCTGAGCCAAAGGTAGATGCTCAATTGACTGAGCCACCCAGGTGCCCCTAAAACTTATTTTTAAAGGACTAGATTTTCACATAAAAAATTTTCTTAGTCACATCCAGATCTCATTGAATACTGTCTTTGAGGAGGTTTCTTTAAGTTCTAACATTTTGATAAACTCATTTAGAAGGCACCTAAAGCTTAAGGTGTAGTAACCAGATATGTGACGTTACTATTTGATCTGCCAAATACTGGGCTAGAATAATTTGTTGTAGGGAGCCTCCAGAAGGGTTCAGACAAATTCATGAATTCCTGTGGTAACCTGTGATATGAATAAAGAGATGTGCAAACTGTATCCTCCTAACCTTCTGAAGATCAAGTCAAGGCAGATAATGTCCAGTCTTTCCTATGTAGGACACACCTCTGTGTAGCAATGGCAAGACTCTGGGCTGGAGAGTTAACTGCTGACCTTGACAGGCTAGGGGGACATATCAAAAGTAACTTATTACCAACTAACAGTATTTTATTAAAATTTGTAACTAATTTTCTTTCTTGTACATTAAAACAATTTCAAGTTCCCTATAAGAGTACTCTCACACTTCTGATAAGCTCTCTGATGGAAGAGTAAGTTTTTGGACACAAGGCAATGGACAGAATCCTGGGTAATACAGGGGTATGAAGCATGTGAACATTATTCATGTGCATCACAGAAGAAAAAAATGGTTAGTAACAGCTGGTCTGGAAAATGGACTTGACAGGATACAGCATTTCCTATGTCTGATGAGAAAAGAAAGAATTAATACGGGGATCCCTGGGTGGCTCAATGGTTTGGCGCCTGCCCCTTTGGCCCAGGGCATGATCCTGGAGTCCCAGGATCGAGTCCCATATCGGGCTCCCTGCATGGAGCCTGCTTCTCCCTCTGCCTGTGTCTCTGCCTCTCTCTCTCTGTGTCTCTCATGAATAAATAAATAAAATCTTAAAAAAAAATGGATTAATACTAGATCCTGAGTTTAGCTGTCAACTAATATCAGGATGCTTGCTCCAAACTAGTGCTTCTGTTAGATTTCACAGGGACTTATGGTACAAGAAAGCTTCATTGAACCCAATCACTTTGTGTGCCAGGCTTAGTGCAAGGTATTATTAAGAGAAAAAAAGAAAATAGAAGCTACTTTATAGCTATCTTAGATCAGACTGACACTTGGGAACTTTAACTTATTGATCCAATTTTGGCACTACAGAACTTCAGGACCTGTGGTATCCCTGGAACTCAGTTTTTTCATCTATAAAATGGGCAGAGGTGAATGAGATGACCTCCAAGGTCCCTTTAGATTCAAAATGTT